TAAATTCTGATTTTAAAAGTGTTGCTACCATCACCTGTCAACAACAGCAGACAAGAAGTTGCAGTTAAGAAACTGAACCTGTGAATACTTTAGACAGAATAATAAACAAACTCATCAGCAGATAGTCGGATTAAATAATGCAATAGACGGATAAACAAATATCAAGTATGTATGTTTATAATGCGTCATTAACGTGTTAAAGTGAAAAGCTAACCGCGATTAGCATCACCGGGCATCACCCAGTTCCTCATTGTTCACCATGTTCCAGATGACAACTCAGGGATTTGTGAGTAATAGCTAACATGCTATCTTGTTTGTAGCTCCGGTTAGCGAGCGGAGCTGTGTGTCCACAGCATGACAGCAGACATCGCTGAAGTTGTCACAAACATCACAATCCAATATTCTGAAGATACAAAAACACAACACTCTTATGTACAAGTTAATTTGTTGGTCCGAGACACACACTGAGCAAGGGAGAGAGAGAGAGAAGCCAGAGCTAACTGCTAAGCTAAAGTAACAATCAGTTCTAAACAGCATGTAAACAAATGCTGAATCAGTGAAATTCGCTACAAGCAGCAGAGAGCTGTGGGTTCTAGAGTAGAACTGGTAAGTTTAAATGTAAAGCAGGTAGTTAGTCACTGTAATGAAGAAAACAACATTATCTGTGTTCAGATGGAGCAGCAATAAACTCTACCGGAAACAGAAACTCCAGAGACTGGCGATGAGACACTACAGTGACGTCAGCACGTCAGCACGTAAACGGTCACTCACTGCTGTTAATGAAAGGTAATGTACTCCGAGTAAACGTGTTACTGCGCTACATTTTTAAAAGGGGGAGAGGAGGGGTAGAACATCTTATATGGGAATGATAATAATAATATATGATAAAAGTATTAAACAACATCTTTAGGCTGCCAGGGAGCCAGTATCAGTTCCCAGGTAAAAACAGCACCAAAAGCAATCAATTAATTCCAGTCAGGCTCTTTGCAGCCAGCTGATAATTATTAATGTACACTCAGTTGACAATTTATTAGGAACATCTAGCTAAAGCTGATATAGTCTAATACAACAGCCCTGTAATAAATCGTCCTTCATGAAGATTATACTGTTTATACAGGTGTTTCTGTTATTTAGCCTATCTTTGTTGATATAAATGGGTTGGACAAAATAATAGAAAATAATAGAAACTTGAAAGTCATGGGGAGTGTCTTTATGTAGCAGTAGTTTTGTGTTGGCATCGGTTCTGAATATTTCTGTCTCTTTTATTGTTAATAATCGGAATCAGCCCTGAAAAATCTGTTGATCCCTATTGCTGTTAGTCAATTTAGACTAATTCTGTCCTTGATTAATTAATGTGTTATTCAGTTAATACCAAGCAATACAACATGAATGAATGAATCCAAGTTTATTTTAAGTTCTATGTGCTTTTATACAGTACATAATATATACAGTTCATCATACTATTTGCCATTTAAAAAAAACTAATAAGTAACATACTGCTCTGATCATAGGTGCTATCTTCAGCTCTAATGTGGCGTTCCTTAACTAGTTATGAAATAGGTACAATAAAGTAATTTGATAAACATGACCTACTCTGTCTCTTTCCAGTCTGCTGAGATCAAGAACTGCCGGGCGAGATGCTGTGATGCATTGTGGGGTTTTTAGTATCAACAACCTCAGGCCTTCCTTCAGCCTTGCAGGTAGCACTCTTCCAAACACACATATTTACACCTGATATAAACAGATTGATTTACTCACTGGTGTTAAATATCTTTGGTTTGATTTGAAGTTAATGTAAACATTGATGTGTGTAGGGTAGATGGCCGTCACTGTACTAGAACCCTCCCCAAGAAGTATGGTTTGTAGTTACTGATCTCAACAGCATGGAAGTTATTAGAAAGAAGCATGTCAAATATTCAAAGGTAACAGCTCTGAGATAAAACTGGATATTGTTTGGTGTGTCCAACTGTATTTAACACGGCCAAGGACCCACAGCAGTTCATCACCTGTGAGATCATGATAATGCTGAAGAACCAGGAGTGACACTATATCACCGGGTGGTGAGAAACAGAATGAAGTGTTTCTGGTTTAAAAGCACCGTCCTCATTTACCGTCAGCATTTAAGAAATGGAAGGTCTTTAGTTTGGTTTTAAAAGAACACATTGATGGGGCGAGTCTAAGATCAGCAGGTAAACTGTTTTAGGTGAATAGATGCTAAAAGCATCTCACTACACTTTGAAAATGCTCTAGGCACATGGAGATTTCCACCATGTGATCTGCTGGGATTGTAAACTAACAGCATGTCTGAGATGTTCTGTGAAGCCAGACCAGCAGGTGCTTTGTGACCAAGAGGAGGATTGTTTAAATTGTATTCTGAAAACAACAAGTAAACAGGGAAAGTTTCAGAGAGTTATGTGGTCAGATTTTTGGCTGGACCACAGCAGTACTGACGCTGACTGACTGACTGACTGACTGACTGATAGAGTTGAGTTTTACTGTTAAACCTTTGGTCAGCTGAAGACCATGTGACGTGAGTCATGAAGTTACACCATTGGTTTGCTAGTTTTGGACTGATGCAGTTGTCATTTTTTCCATCCAGTGCACACATTGTTTAAATTGACTGACAAAAACCTAAAAAGGTAAATGGCACAATATTATTTTAAGGGCACATTGTCAATATGCGCCTACATAGGTGGGTGCATAGCGTGTAGAAACTTGAGTGGATTCACTTTATTGAAGATGTTTGATCACAATAAATTTGGAAAAATCTGTAAAATATTTTTTTTTCTCTGTAGAAATATTAATGAAACTTTCTGTACATTTATTGTTTTTACACTTTATTTGAATTAGGATATTTTACTTTAATTTTACGGTTTTTGTTTGGCAGCCGCTGCTGCCAGTCATTTGACCATTTTTTTGTAGGGGTTATAGACATGTAGGCTGATAATTAATTAAAAAGAACCAAACAGTTTTAAGCACAAAACTAAATACCCACCAAACCCTTATAAGACCTATGGCTGTCAGAGAATATTACATTTATTCCTGAATTAAACCATAATATCACATAATTTTAAATTCCTACACCCGGATATAAAAAAAAATATATATAATTATTACAGACACAAACCAACACACCTCTATTTTATGAAAAATACCTTTACTACACTCACATTAAAATACGTTACATTCAGCACTGAGAACAAACACAAAAGCATCAACAGCAGAAACTACACTGAAGCCAAGTGAAGTGTTGTCATATTTCCAAAATGATTCTGTACTTTCAGTTACAGAATTTCTTATTAAAACATTTAGTATAATTTTTTTTAAGTCTGAAATAATGTTTAAGTATAAAGTGCCACTACTGTACACATAAATATTTTCAAGTGTCATTTTTCAAACCGGCAAATATTTTACATGAACGCCCTGAACATATTTACAGTCTGTCACAGTTGTCCATGTCCAGCTGGGTAAAGATGCTAGAGGAAAAGTCTTTATGTGTTTGACTTGGCAACAGTTTGGTGGCTGTGCTCACCATAAAATCAGTCACCTAAAATCTGGTGGAAAAGAAAAAATCTCCTTGAATGCAAGTGATGTAAACAAACTAAATAATTAATGTGTTTTTACACTGGCTTAATTAAAATACTGTTCTGTGTAGCACAGGAATTTCATCGTCGTTTGATCGTGGGTTGGAAGAACATTAGCAACAGAAAACAGTTTTAGTAATTTAACTTAAGATAATCTGAATCAATTGTTTTTATCTGCTGATCTGTTAACAAATGTGGAACTAACTCTTTTTTTCTGCCAAACTGTTTTGTCTGTTGGCTGAACCAAACAGTTTAAGGTGGTAAATGACCCTGTCAGCTAAAGTAAAGTGAACCGGTTCAGTAACTGAACTGTTACACAGCTGAATCACTTGCTGAACTGTCCTATTTAAGTATCCTAAACCAAATACTATCAGCTATTAACCTGAAACTGCAATGTCTTATCTGCAAAACTGATCGGTTAGCTAATCTGAACCAAACAATTTTATCTGCCAAACTGATCCATTAGCTGAACTAAACTGTTTTAGTCGTTAAAATGATCTGTTAGCTAACATGAACCAAATTCTTTCCTGCCAAACTAAGCTGCTAGCTAACTCAAACCAAACAATTGTATCTGCCAAACTGATCCATTAGCTAACCTGAACCATACAGTTTTAGTCATTAAACTTATCCAGCAGCTAAAGTGAATCAAACTTCCAATTGAATCCGCTAGCTAATCCGAACCAAACAGTTTTAGTTGTTAAACTGATCCATTAGCTAACCTGAACCAAACTGTTTTTGCCAATAAACTGATGCATTAGCTAACCAGAACCAAACTGTTTTAGCTCTTAAACTAATCTGTTAGCTAACCAGAACCAAACTGTTTCATCTGCCAATTTAATCCACTAGCTAACCTGAACCAAACTGTTTTAGCTATTTAGCTGATCTGTTAGCTAAACTCAACCAACAATTTTATCTGCCTGAACTGATTAGTTAACCTGAGCAAATCAGTTTCAGTCATAAAACTAATTCAATAGCTAAGGTGAATCCAACTGTTTTAGCCAATAAACTGATCCATTAGCTAACTGGAACCAAACAGCTTTAATCCGTTAGCTAATCTGAACCAAACCGTTTTAGCCATTAAACTGATCCGTTAACCTGAACCACACTGCTAAACTGTTACCTAATGCAAAACCAACAGTTTTAGGTACTGACCAAATGACAAATCAAATTGTTTTAGCTGCTGAGCTAAACCATAGGTAACCGTCCAAACTGCTTTAGCAGTTAAACCAAGACAAACTGATTAATATGCAAAAGTTTAGTTTAGCTAACTTTAATTCAACTGCTAAATTAGTCAGCTAACCGGTCCAATATTTTCATTTCCGATTAAATGCTCATTCCAGGAAATTGTCAGAGTATATAAATCAGTTTATAACTAATTTCCTGAGTGAATTAGACAATAGAATCAGAGAGCAGAGAGTCATAAAACCGTGCTCACTGAGCCTTTAATGCACAACTATAATGCAGTCCTGTACACAGCTGGTTACACATGATGATAACAGGCCTGATGAAAATAAAATGGGTGATAAGGAGCTGCCAGCTGCTGCCACACTGACTTCAATAACATAAATCAGAGTGGAGTCCACTATGGGAAGCAATTGGTTAGGGTGATAAATGGGGCCAATATGATCTTTTTAGCAAAATTAAACTTCTAGCCTAAATTTGCCTCGGTCCTCGGCCCGAATCTGGCCCATATACTTCCAAATCTGAGCCGATTCCAGATGTTATCCTACAGTGTTGCCTGACAGCCAGGGGATTTCAAGGCAGTCTTGTATGATATTATCAAAAAGTTAATTTTACTCTTCTTATGTTATGGAAAATGGGCCAAACATAGCTCATGAATTTGACACGTTTTGGTAGGTAGACTGTTCGTTTTAAGATGTCGCACCATCTTTGATTGCATTACTAAAGAGAGGCCAAAATAAAATAAAATAAATAGCCAATGTGCCAAGTTTCTGTAAGTCCATTTTTACAGTGTAGTTGTAGTTTACTGGCTGCCTGAAAGATAGGAAATGATCTAAAAACTAATACCATCAGTATGTATGGTGCTTTACAGAAACACAGGTTTAGCTATATTGTCCCACGTGACCAGTTACACAGGGGATTTTGTTGATGAAAACCAGAGCTAAGAAGACAGTGATGGACAGGTAATGACAGATTCAGGTGTGGAGGAGGGTCAGTCCAATGCAGTTCAAGCATCTTCCATCCCAGCTGTTACAGATTCAAGCTTCTGTTTCTGGAAAGCGAACAGAAAGAGGAGTCGGAAAGCAGACGTCGACAGATCTCCAGGACACAAACAAGAGACAATATGAAAATTCTCCAGGTACAAGAGAGTCCACAGAGAGAATACATCCAAAGTGTTCCTTTTAGATTTGATAATAAAGGCATTTTAACAACAGAAATGATCTATAATATTCTTCTAAGATTAGCTTTTTTTAGTTTTTGGTCTTTTTTGCATTTGTTGACAATGAGAGAAATATAGAAAATAGAAGCAGCTTCATCGTTTACTGGGTTAAAACATCTAAACCCACCAGTCTGGTTCTTCACAGTGCGTCAGTGTGAGCGTTCGTACCTGAGCTGCGGAATCACAGGTCGTCCTCCAGATCAGATGGGTGCTGCTTTATCTGGAAACACAGAGGAAGAAGCTCTTCACAAGGGGTCAATTAAAAGACACTGCAGTTAGGCTTCATTAACACAGCCTCCCTCCTCCTCCTCCTCATCATCATCATCATCACTGCAGCCTCATTTCAGATGGATGTAACACACTCATTGATGCACACCCACGCTTGTATTTTCAAGTCGTTCATCCCCACACTCCACAAAAACAGTAATTTCCTGTTCATGTGAACACACTTTGTTGCATGCACACACACACACACACACACACACACACACACACACACACACACACACACACACACACACACACACACACAATAATTACTGACACACTCTGTTATTCACACACACTCAGTTTCTTCCTGTCAGAGGAACAATGCAGCAGATTAAGGGCCGGTCTGTTCTCTGCCTCCGCTCAGATTAATGAGGCAGCTTCGCTCTGTCAGGCAGGTAGGAAGCCTGCAGGCTAATTCTATATCATTATGTTTCCCTGTAAAGAAACAGAGACAGTGAAGCACCGCTCCTCCGCTCGGCTGATCCGCTTCACGCCGCCGAGGTGCTGAATAAAAAAAAAGACCTGCAAGGCAACAATGAACACGTCGGACACCACAGATTATGCAAATTGACTTTTTGGACAGTCTGCGCTGTGTGGACGAGAAAACCCGTCAGTGTAGAGACAGGTGAGGGGACGGACTGGAGCAGATTAATACAATCTTTTTTTATGTTTATTTAATTTATTATCTAGAAAACATTCTGTGACGACATTTTTCACTTCAAATTCAGTTTTGACGATTAATTGAGAAAATAATTGGCAGGTTTATTGGTAATGAGATGTAAATGACATCGTCCTGCTAATAACTGACTGGCCACCAGAGGGCAGAATTACATCACCTTCTATACTGGAGCTGACTGCAGAGGGGGCAGTTATTGTGGTAGTCATTAAACCAAGTGGGAGGGTAGGTGTGGGTGAGGTCGGCGTAGGTTAAGTAGCGGTAGTTAGGTAGCCTGTGGGGTAGTTGTTGGAAATATTTACCCTGCAGGGATAGAAATGGTCTATATTTACCTTGTGGGGGGTATCTGTGGGGGAATCGGGTAAATATTTATCCTGTGGGGGTAGCTGCAGTATACATTTACCCTGTGGGGGTAGTAGTGGTATATATTTACCCTGTGTGGGTTGTAGTTGTGTATATTTACCCTGTGGGGTAGTAGTGGTTTATATATTTTACCCTGTGGGTGGGTAGCTGTGGGGGTAGTAGTGGTATATATTTACCCTGTGGGGGTAGCTGTGGGGGTAGTAGTGGGGGTAGTGCAGCGGCTCGTCCTCGCTGGCCTCTCCTGGTTCAGGACTTTCTCTCTCCAGACTGCTGACTGAACCTCGACGAGGAGAACCCGACACACTGGGCTCCCTGCTCTGAGGACACTCTGACACACACACACACACACACACACACACACACACACACACACACACACACACACACACGCGTGCGCGCGTCAAACACCTAAAGAAGAACATCCTGTCATGACATGACATCATCATGACTCAGATACTTGATTGATTTTGGACATTGTGAACAAATGAGTAAGATAATAAAAAAAAACACTTGGTTATATAATGAAACCCGGATCACCGCCTCGCGGTCGTATCCCTCCGCCACTCAGTCTAGTTCCAGGTCACGTCCCTGTTTATCCAGAGTCACAGAAAATATTAAAACATCTGTGTGAAATCTTGAGTAACGGCTACGGTCACACTGACCTTTGACCTTCAGCCACCAAGTGAACATTTGTGCCAAATTTGAAGATGTTCCCTCAGGTCACCGTGACCTTGACATTATGTACCCTACATATAACATTATGACCTTTGACCTTTTGGTTATGAAATGTTGTCACATCATTTTATCTTTACAGACATTTGAGTTAAACTGCGTCGTAGTCAGTGAATGAACTTGTGAGTTGTGTGTTTAGGGGAAAGGAATCAAACTGAGTCTCACAAAGGTCGTCCCCATTTTAACTGACCTTTGATGCGTCATCCTCCAGACAGAACACCTGCTGAAGACAACGTGACAGTCACATGGTCTGAAGGCGTGTTCGGTCACGTGCAGGTTTACATACTAACCTGTAACTGTCCTTCCTCTTCGATCTATGCAACTAGTTGCTGGTTAATTAGCAGGTAAATTGAATTTGAACGCCACGACAGTCCGGTTAGATCAACTTCCTGTTTCCCTTTTTGGCAAATTAAAACCCGGCAACGTTTTGTTTGCGAAGTGAACGTTTTTTTCAGACGTCAAGGAAACACATAACCTTTGTTACAAGTGAGAACCGTCAACGTGTCACTTTGGATAACTCCCTCATCTTTTTATCCTCATGAGGGCAAACCAGGAGAAATAAAACCAACACACACACACACACACACACACAGAGTTGGTCGAGATAACTCCTGAGTGCTGAAGGGGAGCTTATGAAAGGTTATGAGGCCGGTGTTTATCGCTGTTTACCTCGCTGTCATAATCCACGCTCCACTGGCAGCAGTTTTGTCATTGAACCATTAGTCACAGATGCAGCCTGATAGCTGATCGCATCTGATGGTAAACACGCAGACTCAGCCTGCATCACCAAACCCCCCCCCCCCCAGCCGCCAACCGCCCCCCACCTCTCACACAGATCATTTGCAATAATAAACTTCAATTTCGAAGTGCAGTCGTTCTCGGGCTGGATTAAACCTGGATCAGACTGATTTATGAGGCTGATGTTGTTCTTTTAATGAAGCTGTGATCTCTATCTGCGTCGGATCACATGATTCACATCCACAGATTACATGTGTATCGTTGTATCCCTCCGCCAACCGGTCCAGTTACAGGAAATCACAATCTCTCCTTGAGTTACAGCATTAAATAATGACCAGAGGTGTTTTTGCAGAACATTATGACATCACAGTGATTTTGACCTTTGACTTTTTGGATATAAAAAGTCATCACTTCATCTTTTTTTCTTTTTTCTTTTTTTTTAGACATTAAATTGTGTCATAATTAGCGTACGACCTCTTGAGTGTTTCCTGAGGTCGCGGTGCAGCAGAGGACCAACAGGTGAGTCTGTACCTGAGAAGTCCTTCCTCTGTCTGTCCATCTTGTCTACACAGTCCAGCAGGCCGTCGATCTGAACCTTGATCACCGTCAACTCCCTCTTTATGGCAAGAAGCTCCGCCATCTTCACTGCGGAGAGACAGAGAGAGGCGGGGACAGATTTAGCTTGGGCCCCTTTTATTTCCAGTGCAGATATTTTAGACAATCATTCTGTCCGCTTCCTGTTTCAACATGACAAAGCCAGTGGCATAAAAAAAAATAGTTTTCTCAGTTTGCGGTGGAGGAAGTTGACTGGTCTGAACAGTCTTACAGGTTTCCTTAAAATGCTCACTTAAGTTTTTAAGGTTTTCTCCTGATCTTAGTCTTACACTTAAGGAATCGCTTAAAATCATTTAAAACAGTCGCACAAAACACCTTAGTCAGTAACCCTAACCCAAAGTAAGGAAAACTAGAATCACCTCCTCGCGGTCGTATCACTCCGCCACTCAGACTACTTTCAGGTTACATCCCTGTTTATCCGGAGTCAGAGAAAATATGAACCATTTGTGTGAAGTTTTGTATTATGGCTAAAAGTGTTTTGTGAGTTCACACTGACCTTGACCTTTGACCTTTGACCACCAAAATCTAATCAGTTCGTCCTTGAGTCCAGGTGAACATTTGTGCAAAATTTGAAGGGATTCCCTTGAGGAGTTCTGGAGATATCACATACACAAGGCCAAAATCATGTTTTATGAGGTCACTGTGACCTTGACCTTTGACCTTAAGCCACCAAAATCTAGTCAGCTCATCCTTGAGTCCTTGTGAATGTTTGTGCCAAATTTAAAGATGTTCTGTCGAGGCGTTGCTGAGATGTCATGTCGCGTCGTAGCGCAGCCTACTTCTTTAATGTCACCGGCTTCAGAAGTGCGAATGACAGCAAATTAACGGTCTCCATGGAAACATGGAAATCTCTTTCACTCCTGCAAATGCCTCAACTTTTTTCCTTAACTACGGAAACATGTTAAGAGATTCTGTGCAAGTAGCTCCCTCAGCTAAGGAGAAATGAAACCTTAAGTGTCATGCTTGAGGCTTAAGGTGTTTTCAGCCATGGACCTCACTGATGCAGATACCTGCAACAGGTGCAACATCTGGCAGCGATGGGATGTTCAACAATCACATATCTTGTTTAACATGTAGCGGACTGTCTCTGTCTTCTAGTTGTCCACGGCAACAGGACCAATAATCAAAGCGTTGATAGGAGAGGTTTCCCTTCAGAAGCCGGCTTGAAAATCAATATGGACGAGGTTTTCCGGCTCCGTGCAGATGCAAATGTCATCCGGTGACCCCTGTCGTCATCCTGCCTGTAGCCCTGCACCATCAATTTACTCTCAGTGCAGCACTCCCACCTCCCTCCACCCACAGGAGCCTCCACCCCGGCTGTGCTCTGTAATGGACCACCAGTGCCGCCAACAGCTCGCCAAACGACCCTGAAAACTACTTCACCACTGAAAGCTTTTCGACCTCAGAAGCTCGCAAAGGCAATCTAATTTCCTTGTGATGGGGCGCAGTAAAAACTATTAAGGCTTGTAATAAACTAGTATAAACAATTCTTATTTGCCATGCACTATTAACTCAGTCTAATTGCGAGCGCTGATAGGCTCGGCTGGGTTATGGCAAGGAGGAGAAGCCCTGCGGTACAGAAGCTTTTAATGAAGAGACCATCTGGCGCCCCCACCCTCCCTACTCCTACCTCCACCCGCCTTTCTTTTCCAGCACCCTGCGGCCCTACCGCCGAGACGAGCCATCACACAGGCGGGGGAGATAACATGAACAGGGTTTTAGAAAGGAAACATCCTCTGAGTGCTCCAGGTCTCCACAGGGGCTCACGTCAGTTGCAAATTTAAAGATTAAAAAATAAAAAATGTTACGGCGGCAAATGTGAACACCCGGGCCGAGTCTCTTACGTGGGTTTGAAATTTAAAAGCCTTCAGGTGGACAGGGTTGAGGCATTTTAACACACCTGTGTGCCGACCTCTGCCTTCAGCAGGGTGTAGGTGTCTCAGACCTCTTCGGTTAAAAGCTTTTTAACATTCAAACCCACACAACTGCCTGACCTGTTCCTGCCAACACCACGCACTCACAGTTTCTGATGTTTCTCTTCGTCCTTTACACGCTGCAGCGCTGCAGTCACAACCCCGGTTATAGTGATTTTTGATGGATTCATTTGGTTCAACGACCATGTGGATCTCAGTGGACAGACAGCACAACTCTCTGGGCTCAGAGAGACAGTCCTTCACAAACATTGTGGGGATGAAATACTGGACATACAACATGTAGATTTGCATGTTAGAGGATCAAATGCATAAATTTAACATGCAAATGCAAAATCTGATATTAAATGATATTAAACTCAAGAGTTACCTTTGAGAAGAGGATCATGACTGTTCAAGAACATGTTCAGGAACAGTAATTATTTTAATTTGAGGCTCATGCAACTCAAGAGGCCGCTTGGTAATGAGTTTAGTTTAAAGGTCTCATATTGTCTAAAAGTCTCTGTCCATGTGTAGTGTGATTATAGATCAGGTCTAGCTTCTATATTAATACTGTGAAAGTATCAAAGCCTCAGTCCACAGAGAAATGCACACAGCCTGTATTCAGAAACTGAGCCTTAAAACCAGCCGTCAGGACTTCTGGAACTTTGTGATGTCACAACAAAGCAGTCACGCCCCATATTTTCCTCTTCTTCTGTGTTTTACTTGAAGTGTTGATCCATAAGAAGATATATTTGTGGTTTTAAGAAAGAGAGGAGGCTCTGAGCCTCTCTTCTGATTGGCCGACTGTTTTCTGAGTGATCCAATAAAAATATAGCAGATTTCAGGTAAAAACACTCAGAGAAACCAAATCCTGCAAGGTTTGGATGGTGGGTCCAGGTGGGCGGGGCTTGGTGACTGCTTTGTTGTGACATCACAAAGTTCCAGAAGTCCTGACGGCTGGTTTTAAGGCTCAGTTTCTGAATACAGGCTGTGTGCATTTCTCTGTGGACTGAGGCTTTGATACTTTCACAGTATTAATATAGAAGCTAGAGCTGATCTATAATCACACTACACATGGACACAGACCTTTACACTGGAGGAGCTTTAAATTAAACCCCTTAATAAGCGGCCCCTTGTTTCTGCACCTCACCCAGTGTTTACCTGAAATCTGCTATACTTTTATTTGATCATTCAGGAAACAGTCAGCCAATCAGAAGAGAAGCTCAGAGCTTCTCTTACAACACAAGTATAATGAATGTGCCTGAGAGTATAGCATCTCTCTTACATTTGGCGTTGCTGCTGCCGGAGGAGGGGCTGTGTGTGTTGTTGCTCCTGCTGGACGCTCTGCTGCTCCTCATCCTCAGAGCCGCTGTGGAGGAGGAAGAGGAGGAGGAGGAGGATGAAGGACGGGGCCGTTTGACAGGGCTGGGATCCACCGGGACTGAGGAGGGGACACGCTGGTAGTCAAACACCCTGCAAAACACACACACACACACAAGCTTTAAACATACACACACACAGTGCAGATAAAGTCCCATAATGCACCACTGCCTGAGGCTCTGCCATGTTTCTGCAGCAACATGCTGCTTGTTTGTGTATTGACTGTTTTATGTCTGTAATGAAGTGGAGGGAAATTTATGTTGTGAACAGATTTAATCTTTAATACTTGTAAGTGAAGAGCAGTTCAGTTTGTGAGTCTGTGAAGTCTTTATATAAAAAATGTTTCAAAATAAACCAGCTCTGTGAAATTTACATTTTCTTTACTTTTAAAAAATAAATCCACCACAGGGCATGTTGTTGCCTGAATGACTCACTCACTCTCTTATTTCTTTTTCTTTCAGATGAGTTATATCCAGTGTCAAACATTTAAAAAGAGCTCATGAATATTCAGTTTCATTTCAAAGACTCAATAATTTCCTGCAGAAGCTGTTCACTGTAGTTTTTTATCAAACAAGCAGGAGGGAACAATGCATTTTTGCGGAGCGTTTTCAGCGGCGGATTAATCCACATTTGGTGCTGTAGTGAGTATTTGGAGGCAGCAGGACGATGTTTGTGGGACTGAGTCATAAATAAACTTCGGTGTGTGTGTCACCCAGTGCAACAGGGTGACTCACTGATGTGTTTTAGTCTGGACCGCAACAGCAGGGCGACTCCTATAATCGCAAATGTCCGAGTGACTGAGTGACTGAGTGACTGAGTGAGCATAGTTCCACCATTGGTCAGCTGAATGCCATGTGACCAAGTCGGAGTTTCCCCATTGGCTGTTGCTCTTTCAAAATGAATTGACATGAAGTTTCTGTTAGGGGATGTTTACAACTTTTTATTTTATTTTTACCAAACACACCTCGCCACAAATCTAGCAATTTTTTTGGAGAAACCTCAGCTACTCAGGCTACATTCACACTAATATGTTTTCTTGTTTGAGTTGATTTAATTTAGCACAAACAAGTCGACTCCTCTCAATTCCTTGTTTGTGAATTTATTTTTGTTCATTTGTTTTGTTTTATAATAAATTGATGTGTTAGAGTACATTTAAGTTTCCATTAAGTACAATCTGTGGGTGCAGTTCAGAGCGCTTTAGAAGAATCTAAAATAAAATTTCCTTATTTAACAAGGTCTTGGTAAAAAGCACAGTAGCACTCAAGTTAAGTTGGTAAATAGGTTTAAAACTTGAGCTGATTGTTATAACAGGATATATTAATTGTTGGTTTCACTTATCTTTCACCCAAAAAATGTATTAACCTTGTAGGAACTCAATTTTTGTAAATGGGAGATGAGTCCCTACAATGAACAGAAGTAATTTGGCCCAATATCACAAATCACAAGTACTTGAAAACACAGCAGACTACGGTTTATACTGGAGTGTATTTTCATTATCATCTGCAAGGACATTTGCTTTTCAGTCAGGCATTAAAAACGTTAATCAACACAATCATGAAAGCAATAAAAACACATTTCAAAAAAAGTTAATTATGTAAAAAAAAAAAGAAGCCATTAGTCCAGCTCCTTCATTCGCACTAAAACCCTGAGATACTGAACCACCATGAACAAGCTCAGTGTCCCCATAACATCATGAATACCAACACGCCCTCACACACTTGTCAGCAGGTATCAGGTGTATCAGGAGTGATATAGGAAGATGAATGCGGGGGACTGCGGGATGAATGATGACCTGTCTGTTTAGTATTCAGGCCTTTGGGTCGACTGTAATGGGTCACATTCGAACTGCAGCTATTTATTTTCATTTTAAACTTCTTCCTCCATTAGTTTGATTGGCACGTTCAACCTTTAGCTGGAGGAAGACGAGGCGGCGCCGTGATGGTTGTTACAGCTGAAGATGGATCTGAAGCAGACTCCACTCTGCTCCTCCTCCATTAAACACATCACTCACACCTGCAGGTATTTAGTCATTAATTGTTTCATTAAACCTACTTTTTAGTTATTTCCTACATTTCCCAGAATGCCTCTCAGCAAAGAGGCGTGGAATTGCAGCTGTTTGTTGGTGGTACCACAAATATGTTTTTTAATTAGAGAGCGAAGTAAGAACAAGTTTGAGATGATGGATGTGAAAATCACTAATGATTCATTTTCTCATTTAAAGTTGTTAAATTAACAAACACAGACTTTATGATCCAAATCTGGAAAATTTAAATTTATCACATTTTAAAATATTAATTACACTTAAAATTAAATCTGTTAAAAAAAAAATTAAAACATTTGAATACTTTTTTAATGTACATATATTCATTTATTTATTTGTTTATGCATGTTAATGAACATCAGTACAAAATACACAATGTAAATATGACTGTTTACATCAATAGTCCCTGGTACTGATGCTTAAGTACTTTGGTGAGTATTTGTTAATTTATACTTACACTCCACTAGAGTTATTTTAAAGCTTTAGTTACTTTGCAGATTCTTGTTCTTGTTTATTCTTTTATTTATTCCTGTTCATATTCCCACATTTATTTTCTTACTCTTTTACAGTGTTATTATCTTTTTTCTGGCACTCCTTTGACTCCATACAGAACCAGCGCTGGACGTCTCCCACTAACAAGTACTGAGTGTATCACAGTCTGATACATCAGACTCCTCTGAGTCACAGAGCTCCACACTGTTGTCCAGAAACACATCAGTGAGTCACACTGTGACTGTTCCTTCATCATGTTCCTTTAACACACACACACACACACACACACACACACACACACACACACACACACACACCGTCCTGCTGCCCCAAACACTCACTACAGCACCAAATGTGGATTAATCTGCCACTGAAAATAGTCTCCAACGAATACACGAGCCAGGTGAGATGAGTTTTAAGTTTAAGTTTTACGTCTTCAGCAGGAACCAATGGGCTCGGAGCTGAGAGCCACAGACAGAGGTCAGAGGTCAGAGGTCAGACACACTGTTGATTGGGGCCCAGGTAGCAAAAAGAAACCTCTGGCCCAATATACGCCTGCGTCCTCGGCCCAAGTCTGGCCCATATACTTCCACATCTGGGCAGAGTCCGGCTGCTATCCTCCGGTGTTGTCTGACAGCCACAAGATTTTCTTTGTGTGCGCCAGAATTGGTCCAGATGTGGAAGTAGCATCTGACGATCATGCCGTATACGGGCCAGATTCGGGCCATGGAACCGAGCGTATACCGGGTCAGAAGAAAATACACATGTGGCTGAAGTAACGGCCGGATTTATTTTGCTGCCTGAGGAGAAAGAACTGAATAAAATAGCGACAGACATGTTTAAACCCTCTGCCTGAAGGACGTTCTCTCACCTGCGAACCCAGAAAAAAAAAAAAAACCTTAATTCTTATAAACGTATTAAAATGATCTATAAAGAAATTAATTGAGAATGAAAGCTCTGCTGTTATTAAGTAGCAGCAGTTGAAAGTCAACTGAAAGTGAATTGGGTCTGAAACCTGCAGCAGCTGCTCTCTTTGAGTTACCTGCTGCAGGTGGGCTTAAACTTTCTGAGCGATTTATCTTTTCTAAAAAACCGGCACTGATTTCATTTCATCACATAATCCCACACTCCTTCATTTCGGTGTTTCCTGCGTCGTCTCCCGCTCTCTTTTCTAACGGAGGCTGCGTGTTGTTGCTGTCTGATAGAGAGTGTTGTGCTGCGGGTGAGGGGCTGACTGACAGCTCCAATTTGATGCAGAGAGCGATAGAGGAGGCGATGGGGAGGACGACGAGCAGCCTTTCCTCTTCCTGTCAACCTCTGCTGTCTATCACAGCAGCCATCTACAGCTGGAGGAGGATTGACTGCAGGGGAAACATGAATGCACTTCATCTCTGTCACTGTCTCTCACACACACACACACACACACACACAAATAAACATGGATAAGGACACACCTGCATGCACCCACTCAGTTCATTTTCAAAAGATTCCTTAGTGCCGTGAAAAAATGCATTTACACTTCAAAGGCCTGAGGTGATAATAACATGTGGGCCATGAAAAACATGTAATAATGTTCAGGGGATTTTCATGTTTACACCTGGAATGAAAGATTACACGCCGCTCTGCGGGTTAGAGGAGCCGCCGCGTGCCCGGGTTTATGAAACAGGAATTTTTCACGAGCCGGATCAGATCTGGGTGCGGCCTTCAGTCTGGACCAGAACACCTGGGCTCAGTTCAGTACCACAGTTTGTACAGAACTCAAACACACAACTCTTACACTGAACCACTTGAACTAATGTTTAGGTGACACTGACACAGTTGGACACAAACACTTTTTTACATTTACTTGGAGTTGACTTGTGTATTTTAATTTAATTCTACTTTATACTACATTTAAATATTGTACTTTTACCTGGCAGTTAGAGTCACCAGTTAGTTTTCAGATGAAGATTTTACATACAAACTCTTAACTCATAAAATATGATGCATTGTTATAATAAGTATTTTCAAAGTAGCTCAGCTCCATCCAACTTTTTTTTTACTTTTACTTTTGATACTTTTAATTTATTATTACGTTATTAGATTGTCACATGATTATCGTGACGAGAGGAATTCACGATCACGTTATTATTATGATATCATGTAGAAAATTTGATATTAATAATAATAATAATATTAGTGTTGGTATCAGTCAAATTCATCTTTAAACGTACAGTCTGTAACTTGTGCCTCAAGGTTTCTCTCAATTAAAACAGTAATAAAAGACGCCGTTTGGTGACGTCATGAAGCAGCGTGGGATCATGGGAGTTGTCGCCGTCGGCTTCTCCTGGTTTGGATTCCTTCAGTGTCGGAGGTTTTTACCAGCAGCTGAATTATCCTCAGAGGTTTCCTCCTCTCCACAACAAACACACCAGGGGATTAAAACCAGCAGAAACACTGAATAAAAACCGTTTCACATTTAAAGTCTGCGATTCGCTGACACAGTTCAGCGGACACAGGACGTCTCTGAGCTGAGCTGTCGAACGTTTCCTCAGCTTGTTCCTCTGATAACTTCAGATCC